AATCAGGGAATTTATAAATTTAATGTGATTTGACTATTATTGTTTTTTTTTTTTTTTTTTTTTTTTTTTTGTTACTTGATTATATAACCGACAATTTGCAATTATTAAGTTTGTCATTTGTGAATAATAAAATCAAGGTCTTGAGTTATATCTTTTGATATGGAAACAAAAAAATAAATAGATCTGTTTTATGTAATAAACGTGCTTGGCATTTCTGTTTAAAGAATGAAATGAAAACAAATTGTCTCCAGATTAAATGGTTTCTAGAGACAACTTTGCATATAAATTAAGTTGATGATGAGATGATTTTGTGGTTTTTCTGCAGAAGTTCTTTATCTATAATAAACTAAAGAAAGACTTAAGACACAGGCATGATTTCATTATGACTACAAGACTTAAGACACATACTTGATTGGTGTATAACATTTAATGGTAGTTGTTGTTGTTGTTTTTTTATTATTATTCTGGCTAAAACCAGCAGAAAAACAGACTAGCCTTAATTTTAACACGTATGACATGTTTTTAATATTTTGTTGTTTTTTTTTTCTTCTAAGAAGCAGGATTTGTGTTGTTATTTTTCTTAATTGATTTTTTTGGAAAAAACACAAAACTTCCGCATCTTGTTTATTCTTCTTGGGGATTTTTTGTATTATTATTATTTTGTTTTCAATAAACCTGTAAAATATTTAATATATTATTAATGTTTTTCTAAACAAAAACCACTTTTTTCAATTTACTCCAAGTGATAACGTTTTGGTTTTTTTTTTTTGCATTAGTGTGTGTTTGAAAGATTATTAGCAGGAACCTGTTTTCTTATACAAAATGCCACAAAACATCATTAAAGTTTTATAGAAAACTCTAGTGGTATGATGTCTTTTTTTAAAAAGCTTTTGCAAAATAATGATTAAATTTTTATCTTCAAATTACGACCTTTGGCTTTCTAACATAGTTTTAGTATTTAGATTTTTTTCTATTAAATATTATTTACAGAATTTATTATTTATGACAATGTCACCTTAAATAACACCTTTTTGTTGGTAATTTATTGGTTATTTTTTTTAACAACAATTACTGTTTGCGCTAAAAATAGCTTTGTAAAGAATGTTTATTTAGACAAAAAAAAAACTTTGCCATGAAATGAAGTCTAGTGGCAAGTGTTAGTGTGTATTGAAGCACTAACTGTAAATAATGTAAAGTTAAATTGCATTTAAGCTTTTTCAATAGTTACTTTTATATAAAAACATACACACAAATCAATGTGAATACATACATACATTGGTATGTAACTAAATGTTCAGCAGGCATGTGCTACTATTGCAATACAAACATTTTGAATTACAAATAGATTCTATTCAATCATATTTAAAATACCGGTTTTATTTAGTTATTATTTGCATAATACTTACTTACATTGCTAAGTAGCCAAACAGCCAAACGGCCAAATAGTCAATTGGCCATACATATGGCTTAAACAGCCAATCATGTCTACATACTTACAAACATATGTACATACGTACATTTGTACATGTGTATGCACATTTTTTACATTTGTTTAACTATATATATATACTTATGTATGTATGTATATATGTATGTATATGGGTCGTTTTAGTTTTGTCTGTAATGAAGACAAGAAATAATCCGGTATAAAAGTAGAAAAAAAGTAAATATTATAACGAACGTCCTTGAGTTGTTACAAAAAAAAAAAGATTTCAATTTGTTTTATTGTGGTTTATTTGAAAGGACTTGAAAGTTTAATGAAGAAACAAAAACCCCAGTAGAGCAAAGCAAAATATATACAAATAAATAAATTTAACAAAAGCCGGTGTATGTTTTAGCAAGTTTGTTGTTTAAGTCTTTTGTTTTGTGTTTAGCAATATATAACAATAAATAATAAATAAAGGTCTTTATAGTTTATTTGTATATTTTTTGATTAAAGATTATTTAAGTTAAAAGAAATTCAACTATTGAATCCGGTAGTTTATAGGAAGATTTAAACAAAGTTAGTGAAATAGAATAGACTAGAACATACACATACGATTAATCAGATAATTTGGTCTAAAGTAGTTTTTCGAGAGCATTTCAGCAGTAAAATTTTCCATTATATTGAGTTATTTATTTAAAATACCTAAAACAAATATTTATTTTTTCCTTTTCAGTACCCTACTTTTTGTTATTTTTGCTTTGGCCTGCCACTTAAGTTTCACTGTAGCTGAAGATGGAGGCGCTGGCAAACGTATTGCCTTAAGACGTCCCGTTGGTAAAGCCGCCAAAACATCAACAACCACAACAGAAGCTCCCGCTGAAGATGAAGAAGGTGATTACGCCGAAAATGGTGAAGACAATCAATATCCCGATGAAGGTGAAGATTCTGCCTCAACAACTACCACCACCACAACAACAGAAACACCTAAGCGTATTGGACCCGTAATTAGACCTTTCCGTTCCAACGATGATTTCTTGAACTCCCTAAAGCGCAGACAAATGATTGCTAAGAAAAACAAATGTAAGTTTTATAAAAAAAACAACAAACCTGTTTGAAACTTATCTCATAACAAATTTTTTATTACAGCTGAAAAACCAGCACCCAAACCCAGCAAACCTGCAGCTTCCCAAGACTCACAAGAAGAAGCTGAAGAATCTGCCCCCGTAGCTGCTCCAGCTCCCGTCTCAAAAGGTTTCAACAAGCCTAACTCAGCCTGTAAGTTAAAAATACATACATATAATATAATTTTAACATATTTGTTAATGAAATCCTTTAATTTTTTTATTTAAATAGTGAGCCGCCGTAAATTGAACAAACCCTCAAAACCTGAACCAGTTGAAGATGCCGCCGCCGAAGAATCTGAACCAGAACAAAAAGAAGAAGCTAAACCCAAACGTCCTTTGGGCCGTTTAGCTTTAAGGAAACGCAATTAATTTAAATACTTTATTTAAAACCTATAACTTTTTTTAATTTGAAAAATCAAACTATTTTCTAAATTTTTAATCTTTCCTTTCTCTCTCTATCTCTTACTCTCTCCCCCTTTTTTCTGGTTCTTTACCTTTATTAAGCAGAATTTGCCAAATCTTTAATCCGTTAGTCTCTATTTTGATTTGTTTGTTTGTAAATCAAAATCTTTAAATACTTTCTTAATTTTTATTTTGTTTTTTGTTTAATTTTATTTCATTACTTTCAATTTATAACTTTTAGGTTTTAGTTTAAGTTAAAAGAAAACAAAGGAAATCAAAAATATGAGTTTTAGATTTTCATATTTTCCCCAAATGTAATTTTCCTGCTCTTTATTGTGTGAATTTGAGTATCTTTTTCTGTTCATGTGAGTTATAATATTATTTTTTATATTATACTATAAATATTTTATTTGTATATATTTCTATTAAAATAAAAAAACAACAACAAATCGATATTAATTTTATTTTATTTATTTTTAACTTACTAAATAACAACAAGTAAGAATTCTATATTCGGCTGTGACGAATCATATACAGTTGGAAAACGAAAATGTACCAAAAATTTCACCTTATATATGGGCAATTTCATGTTAATTGACCTAACTCAAGAAATCGATTTTGATGAAATTTGACCAAGGTTAGTACTATTGGATAGTAGGTCAGACACAATCGGTCAAGAACTGCCGGGCTAAGACTGACTTAGGTCAGTCAAAGTTGCTATTTCAGATAGCTATTTCTTCATTGCTTCCAAAATTTTTATTTACATTTTGAAAGTTGGGTCATTTGACACGAAATAACCCATATATTTATTCAATCAGGACTCTACCTGTTTAATTCCATGTTTCTAAGATTCAAAAAATATCAGTTGAAAAAGATTTTCATTCACTCTGGACTCTGAATGTTTATTTAAAATTGTTTTGGATCAATATATACTATATACAATATTATATATCCTTCACCATAGTATATTAAAAAAAACAGTCAGTACAAATTTTATTACAAAAAGTAAAAAAAGTCCAAATTTTAAAAGAAAAAGTACCAGAAAGTCCACTTTTAAAGATTTTCATTCAATCAGGGCACTGAGTGTTTAACTTTATAGGTTTAATATTAAAAATGATTCAAAAAGTACCATTTAAAGAATGAAGAAGTATCCAAAAGAAAATTCTAGTTCAATATTGCATAAAAACCAAAAAGTACCAGTTAAAGAAAGAAAAAGTACCAAAAATCGTGGTATATTTAGTACCAACAGTCCCCTTTTATAGGTTCTCTAAAAGTACCAAAAAGACCCATTTTATAGGTTCTAATTTACTCCATACCCTACATGCTTAATTTCATGTTTAAAGGTTCAGTGTTATAGAAAACTCAAAAAGTTCCTTTTGAAAAACGAAAAAGTTCCCTTTTATGGTTCTCATACGTAACGTGTTGTTCTTGCAAACTAAGTACAATAACATCATTTACCATATGAAGCTGAAGTTGTTGTTGTTGTTTTTTCTTTTTGCATTAAAATATTCATTTTTTTTAGAGGTTGTCTCGGATTTTGGCTCTTATCTCCATTATTAGTGGATCGATTTTGCTGATTTTTAAATAGCGATCTTCTTTAAAGCATGTATGACATAATTGCAGATTTTGATGCCGAAGGTATCTGGGATCTTCAGAAAAAAAAACAGGCAAGCAGAGGATATACAGACGGACATAGCTTAAACGACTTTGCTATCTATATATATTCTTTTATTGTAAAAATTACAAATGGAATGACAGACCTTCTACCTTTCTCACAAAGGTGAAGGGTATAAAAAATAGTTTATAAAGTATCAGTATATCTAATTCTATATTACTCAAACCATACATACATATATAATTCTGTTATTAATGCTTTCCATATTTTGATTATTGGATCATAATACAATAATATTGTGTTATCATTTTTTGGACTGATATTCTTGTTTCAAATTATTTGAAACATTTTGTGTGTTTCTTTTCAATTTGAAAAGTTTTCTTATTTCAATCATTTTAATATTTTTCTTTTCAGTTTTAAAACTTAATACAATATGTCCGCTGCTGATTTACTTTTATCGACTATCAAAGGCTTTGAATATTCAGAATTGGATTTTCATGAAATTGATGAGAAACTGAGTAATTATGAAATGAACTAAACAATAACCTTAAATCATTTATTAATGTTCTTCCAGAAAGCGAAATTCCCATCGAACTTGAATATCAAATAAATAATGTTTTATCTCTGACCAAGAAAACCATAGAGAAATTAAAAATTTCCTTAATTTTACCTAAAATATTGGAAAATCCTAAGATGTTACAGGATTACGTAAATCATACAGAATATAACAGTTGTTTGAAATTGTTACAAGACTATAGAACTAGACAAGTTTGTATTATTTTCTATATTAAAAATACAAAAAATTATATTTTCCAATTCTTGCAGAAAACTGTATCTTTATTGGAACCTAAACAAAATGATTATTATCTTTTAAAAATCATTGATTATTTCCAAGAAAATTATAAAATTCTTGAGGCTTTACCCAACTGGTTAGATGATATAGACAATACGGAAAAATGTTTATTGAAAGCGTTTGAGGATGTTTATCAAGTGACCCAAGAAAGATTTTATAGACCTGCCATGGCCGATTTGGCCAAAGAAAAACGTTTGCATGAAGTTTATTTAGCTAATGAGGAGGTTAAAAAGACTATAAAAGGTATTTATTCATTTAAAATATTCAATTTAACTTACATATACATAATTATTACAGATATCTCTCGTAAAATTCAAAACAAAAAGTTAAATCGTCTTTGGAAAACTGCCGCCAAAACTGGAGTCATTAAGAAATTAGAAGATGAACTAGCATTTCATCAATATGATAATAATTTATTTGTTAAACAGGAAATGTAAGATCACTATTTAACAATTCACTAGGATATATTCACTTTTTATAATTTCAACTTTAGTTCGAATAGTCATCGGGAAATACAACAAATCAATTTCACTTTCACAAACAAACAACAAGAACTTGAAGAAGAATTGGAAAAAGTCCGTTTAACTTATGAGCGTAAATTAAAAGATGATTTGATACAAGAAAGAAATGTCCGAGATGAAAGGTAAGACTTTTTACAGCAATAAAATATATACATATAAGTATGTCTTTTAATTTCTCCAGCCCCCTTTCAGAAATAAATTACAGCTACAATTACAGTCCTTGATTACCAAATATGATCAAACGATTTACGACAAATACAAAGAGGAACTACTCCTTCAAGAAGAGTATGACAAAGAAAAACAAGAATTTGATATTTTTCTTATAGAATATAAGCGCGAGGATGCCATCTATGAAGAATTGGTCCGTAAAAAAGAACGGGAATTTCAGCAATTGCATGAAGCTAAAATTCTTCTTTTCACTCATACGCGAGCTGCCAAAAAGTTACAACGTTGGTGGAAAAAATATTTGCGTGCCCAGAAACAATTACAGAAGAAAGCGGCTAAAAGCAAGGGAAAAGCCAAAGAAAAAGATGAGGGGGCTAACGGAAAACCAGCGGGAAAGAGTGACAACAAGGAAGCTAACAAAAAAACTGGTGGAAAAGGAAAGATGAAATAAAAATATGCAAAATAATTGTAATATTTACTAAATTTATAATATATATTATATTTTTATGAACCATTTTGTTAACAAACTGTTTTTCTACATAAATATTTAAATATTAACAGTTTTTTGATGTTTATCAGTTCTAAATTGAAGTATTAGTGGAGACACAAACCTAAAAGTTTGTAGAGTTTTTTGCAAATGTTTTATTTTTTATCTGGCCACGTTAATTTTATATTAAAACTAGTGAAGACAAAATTAGTATCGATTATCGGTTTGTGTCTAAGATTTCTTAAAACTTTCTAAATAAATCAGTATGTAGCAGTACATTTGAGAAATACCTTTCATACATACGTTTCATACTTTTCATACTTACGTAACAAAAATATCTAATTTTTTCGCGGTTGTTAAAAAGTTGACGCTCAACTCTCGTTAAAATTTGAAATCTTTATTTTAACTTTTTACATTTTTTTTTGGTAAAAACAGACATATAAACTTATACATAACAATTTATCAAAGGTTTAGACTAAAATATAGACTATACTATGGACTAGACTCTAGACTAGACTATAACTAGACTATAGACTAGATTATAGACTAGACTAGACTATAGGCTATACTAAAGACTAGACTATAGACTATACTAGACTATAGACTAGACTATAGACTAGACTATAGACTAGACTATAGACTAGACTATAGACTAGACTATAGACTAGACTATAGACTAGACTATAGACTAGACTATAGACTAGACTATAGACTAGACTATAGACTAGACTATAGACTAGACTATAGACTAGACTATAGACTAGACTATAGACTAGACTATAGACTAGACTATAGACTAGACTATAGACTAGACTATAGACTAGACTATAGACTAGACTATAGACTAGACTATAGACTAGACTATAGACTAGACTATAGACTAGACTATAGACTAGACTATAGACTAGACTATAGACTAGACTATAGACTAGACTATAGACTAGACTATAGACTAGACTATAGACTAGACTATAGACTAGACTATAGACTAGACTATAGACTAGACTATAGACTAGACTATAGACTAGACTATAGACTAGACTATAGACTAGACTATAGACTAGACTATAGACTAGACTATAGACTAGACTATAGACTAGAATATAGACTAGACTATAGACTAGACTATAGACTAGACTATAGACTAGACTATAGACTAGACTATAGACTAGACTATAGACTAGACTATAGACTAGACTATAGACTAGACTATAGACTAGACTATAGACTAGACTATAGACTAGACTATAGACTAGACTATAGACTAGACTATAGACTAGACTATAGACTAGACTATAGACTAGACTATAGACTAGACTATAGACTAGACTATAGACTAGACTATAGACTAGACTATAGACTAGACTATAGACTAGACTATAGACTAGACTATAGACTAGACTACTAGACTATAGACTAGACTATAGACTAGACTATAGACTAGACTATAGACTAGACTATAGACTAGACTATAGACTAGACTATAGACTAGACTATAGACTAGACTATAGACTAGACTATAGACTAGACTATAGACTAGACTATAGACTAGACTATAGACTAGACTAGACTAGACTATAGACTAGACTATAGACTAGACTATAGACTAGACTATAGACTAGACTAGACTAGACTAGACTAGACTAGACTAGACTATAGACTAGACTATAGACTAGACTATAGACTAGACTAGACTATAGACTAGACTATAGACTAGACTATAGACTAGACTAGACTATAAACTAGACTATAGACTAGACTATAGACTAGACTATAGACTAGACTATAGACTAGACTATAGACTAGACTATAGACTAGACTATAGACTAGACTATAGACTAGACTATAAATAATGGAATATTAAAATAACATTTTGGATTAAAATCGGTTTAAAATACCTTTCCCCATTACGTATGTTATTTTCAATATAAATGAAGTGTTTTTCGAGGTACATGTCTATTTATCTATGTATCTCCAGCCTATTACAGTATAACACACACGATCCACAAAAATTACATATTACACTCTTCTAACACTAATAAACATTTATTAACAAACTGATTTTTGCTCTTACACGCAGACCTGCCAGATTATTAGTAAATTTTTAATCAAACTTTGAAGTTATTTTTCTAGTTTTGAAAACAGAAAAAGATTTTTGTTAAATAAAAACAATTTTTTTTTTATTTCATACCACTGGGAACTAAATTTATAGAATCCAAAATAGTAAATAAAAATATAACGATTTCCTGAAAGTTCGAATTATAAATGTAAAATATGTTGCCGCTTTCTCAAAATTAACACCAATATTTTTCAAAAAATCTTGCCGATCTGGCAGCTTTGTGTGCACACGAATTTTCTGTGAGCGTATATTGTTTGTTTGTTTGTGTAAAATTTAAAAATTAATTTAATACAAAGTTTTCATATGTAGTTCTTTGCAAAACAATCGGCCAGTTTAATTTTGTCGCTTCCAGTGTGAAGAACAAAATTTATTTCTTTATTCTCGTTAAAATACAGCCGTGAATTGTGTAAAGTGTATTAAAAAAAAGTGTTTGAATAAATTTATTAAAAATTTATTAAGAAAATTATATATATTTTCTAAACTATAAAAGGTATGTTGGTATTTTATTTGTATAAAGGATTAAATTTCATAATACATACTATGTACTATTATGAAATTAAACTTATATTTGTTATATTTATTAAAATCAGATGTTTTCTTTTTCAATTCTAATAAATATTTTTGTTATGCTAAACAAAAGATTATTAAAAATTTTGTTTCGTATTTCAGTTTTGCAAATAAATATTTGTTTGTTGTTTTAATATTTATTATAACTAAATAGTACAACAAATTTATTACTGATAAGTTAAAAAGTTCAATTATTATATTAATTTTTATTAATTTAATTTTTATTTCATATTAAGGTCAATCGTTGAGAATATGTTAGAAGCGACAAAATAAATTTGAATGAAAAAATACGTTTTATTGTCTATTTACATACTTTACTTACATCACATATCTACTCAAAGAGAATTGCCCCTATTTTTGAATGTATGTATGTTTGTATATGTAGATGGAAATAAATTTTTATTCATTATTTTAACTTCTTCTAATAGGGCATTTTGATTTTGTAAGATACACAAACAAATTTACTGGAAAAAAACCAAAAAGTAAATTTATTATGCGTCTTAAAAAAATTACTGGTAAATTAATTTCTATACCGGTGTTTAACGATAATTATATAATAATCAATTGATTATTGATATCGAAAATTTCTTCGATTGTTAACCTATATTTTATTCTTTTATTTTAAACAGTGAGGACTGTAAATCGAGGTATAGGTGTCGATTTATATGGCTAATTCACTCAAAGTTTTCTGCTTAATAGTTTTTATTTAAATTTTATATTTTATTTTAATTTTTGCTAAAACACTTATGGATTTATGACCACTTTTTAATGATCCATTTTTTTCTGAACAGAAAAAAAGTCGCAATCGAACTGATAGTGCCCACTTTAGAATGATAACGTTGTATGACATTTTTAAAAGTTTAAACAAATTAGAATCTAAATTAATTCATAAAAACATACACGTATCTCTATATATTGTTTATGCAAAGATTAATTAAGCAAAAAAATTAAACAAAAACAATTGTTTTTATAGGTATAAACATAAACAAAACTTTGCATATATTAAATACCCTACAGGCGGTAGGTGTGGGTGGACTCACTTTATAGCTATGTCGGTGACTTTATGATTAAATAATTCAATTTATTCAATATAAATAATAAACAATTCTGGCTTAAGTCCTTCAGAATAAAAACTTAAAATAATAAAGTATAAGTTTTAAAATCAATCCTATCAATCCCAAAAATTTGGATCTAATATTCTCTGTTTAACCTTGACTGATCAACAAAACCTATCCCAAACTTTTTATAAAATATTAACATGAATTAGCATTTTTTTAATTTGTTCAGCTGGCTGTTGGCCAAAAAATTTAAAAATCGTAAACGCCTGACACACGACTTTATATAGTACATACATTCATACGTATGTACATAAATATTTGAATTTCTAAAAAAAAAAATAACAAGTGGCTAAACGATCAGCCAAATGGACACCAACAGGTTTTTATTAAATTGTTGTTATAAACTAGAAAAAATGTAAATAAATACCAAAAAGCCGGTAAAATATTTAAGTTTTTTTTATAATAGACAAGTTTATTTTGTTAATATTTTTTTTTTTTAATAAAAAACATCTTACGATGTTTTGGTTAGAATTAAATAATAAGAATTTCTTGTACACGATTTTTAATACGTAATTTAGTATTTAAAACTATGTCACACTTTATACATTTTATACGTGAAAAAAGTATTAATAATGTATTTTGTTTACTTTTATTATAGTTCTGAAATAAAGGAATTTTGATTTTAACACTATGAGTCCGCCAGCATTATTAAGCAAAGATTTGCCAGACATTGAGGTAAGTGTGATCACAATAAAGTCAAAAATACTATATATTTTTAATTCCAAAAATATATTATTTTCAGAATCTTTTAAGTTTAAATCCTCGAGTGAAAACTAAATGTACCGCAGTCCCTACTACTGAAACCAAAGTTAATAAGAAACATTGGAAACGTAATCCTGATCGGAGTTGTGCTGTAAGTAACAAGTGGCTACAAATCCATTTGAGCCAGAAATAAATACCCGATCTTTTTTAAAATATTTTTAATATATGTATTACCAAAAATTTCCAGTCCGGTCCTAAACTAAACAATGATTTTGAAGACATTAAACATACAACTCTCTCCGAAAGAGCTGCTCTTAAAGAGGCTGCCAGATGTTTAAAATGCGCAGATGCTCCTTGTCAAAAATCCTGTCCTACACAATTGGATATTAAGAGTTTTATTACTAGTATTGCCAACAAAAACTACTATGGTGCTGCTAAGGCTATTTTCTCCGATAATCCCTTGGGTCTAACCTGTGGTATGGTGTGTCCTACTAGTGATTTGTGTGTGGGTGGCTGCAATCTTCAGGCCTCTGAAGAGGGACCCATTAACATTGGTGGTTTGCAGCAATATGCCACTGAAGTCTTTAAGCAAATGGGTGTTAGACAGATTGTGCCTCCGGGCATTAAGGCTCCCAAGCAGCTGAAAAAGAAAATTGCCTTGTTGGGTGGTGGACCCGCTTCCTTGTCTTGCGCTACCTTTTTGGGTCGTTTGGGATATAAGAATATAACCATTTACGAAAAGCGTTCCTATTTAGGTGGCTTGAGTTCTTCGGAAATTCCTCAGTATAGATTGCCTGTGGATGTGGTTAATTTTGAAATACAACTAGTAAAGGATTTGGGTGTTAAGATTGAAACTAATAGATCTCTTTCCACTAAGGACTTAACGGTGCAGGTAGGTACACCAAATATAAAACAAATTTTATAAAGTTTTTAAACAAAATAAATTTATTTTTTAGCAACTACTTTCCACCGATCATGTGGTCTACTTAGGTATTGGTTTGCCAGAACCTAAATTAAATCCCATCTTTAAAGATTTAAATGAGTCTATGGGTTTCTATACCTCCAAGAGTTTTTTGCCTAAAGTAGCCGATGGTTCTAAGCCAGGACTTTGTGCTTGCAAGGCTAATCAAGCTTTACCTCAACTATTTGGCAATGTTATTGTCTTGGGCGCTGGTGATACAGCTTTCGATTGTGCCACATCTGCCTTGAGATGTGGTGCCAAACGTGTATTTGTAGTGTTTCGTAAGGGTTCTTCTGGCATACGTGCCGTACCCGAAGAAGTCGAATTGGCTAGGGAAGAGAAATGTGAATTCTTACCTTATCTCTCACCACGCAAGGTATTGGTAAAGGACAATAAGATTATTGGCATGGAATTCTGTCGTACCGAACAGGATGAAAATGATCAATGGATAGAAGATGAAGAACAAATTACTAAATTAAAAGCCAACTTTGTTATCTCTGCTTTTGGCTCTGGTCTATATGACATGGAGGTAATAGAAGCTATGGCTCCCGTAGAATTGGACAAATGGAATATGCCCAAATTAAATTCCAAAACTCTACAAACTTCTGTGCCCCAAGTATTCTGTGGTGGAGATTTAGCTGGTTCTGCTGATACTACCGTAGAATCGGTAAATGATGGCAAAATTGCTGCCTGGAGTATTCATTGTCATTTGGAGGGTTTACCTTTGGACACACCTGCTGAATTGCCTTTATTCTATACCGATATTGATAATGTTGATATTTCGGTAGAGATGTGTGGCATCAAGTTCGAAAATCCTTTCGGTTTGGCTTCAGCTCCTCCTACCACAAGTGCTGCCATGATTAGAAGAGCCTTTGAACAAGGTTGGGGTTTTGTGGTAACTAAAACCTTTGGTCTGGACAAAGATTTGGTAACAAATGTTTCACCTCGTATTGTGAGAGGTACTACATCGGGCTATAACTATGGTCCCCAACAAGGTAGTTTCCTAAATATCGAATTGATTTCCGAAAAGAAACCAGAATATTGGTTCCGTGCCATAGCAGAGTTAAAGAGAGATTTTCCCACCAAAATTGTAATTGCCAGTATAATGTGTCAATATAATGAAGCAGATTGGACAGAAATGGCTACCAGAGCCGAAGCTTGTGGTTCAGATGCTTTGGAATTAAACTTATCGTGTCCCCATGGTATGGGTGAATCTGGCATGGGTTTGGCCTGTGGTCAAGATCCTGTCTTAGTAGAAAATATTTCCAAATGGGTACGTAAAGCGGTTAAAATTCCCTTCTTTGTAAAATTGACTCCCAATATTACCGATATTGTGGGTATTGCTATGGCTGCCCAAAGAGGCCAAGCTGATGGTGTATCAGCAATTAACACCGTACAAGGTTTAATGAGCCTTAAAGCTGATGCCTCCCCTTGGCCAGCTATTGGTGCTGAAAAGAAAACTACTTATGGTGGTGTTTCAGGTAATGCCACACGTCCCATGGCTTTAAGAGCTATATCATCCATAGCCAAAAAGTTGCCTGGTTTCCCCATCTTGGGTATTGGAGGTATTGACTCGGGAGAAGTGGCTTTGCAATTTTTGCAAGCTGGTGCTACAGTTTTACAAGTTTGTTCTTCGGTGCAAAATCAAGATTTCACTTTGATCGAGGATTATTGTACTAGTTTGAAGGCTTTGTTGTATCTAAAAGCTAATCCACCACCAAATAATGCTGCCTTCTGGGATGGACAATCACCACCAACACCTAAACATCAAAAGGGCAAACCCGTTATGCATTTAACTGGGGAAGGCAATAAGGTTGGTTAAAAATTTATTCAAATTGATTACAGGAGTATATTTTTATTATGATCTATTTTCTAGACTTTGGGTTTCTTTGGTCCTTATTTGAAAGAAAGAGAAGAAAAACTTGCGAAAATGCGCGAAGAAAAAGGTCCCATGTGGAAGATCGATAGTGGTGATGTTGATGTCAAAATTCAAAATGGTAATGGTCATGTACCACAACCAGCTCCTAAGGTTAAGGATATTATAGGACGTGCTTTGCCTCATATTGGCACCTATAAGAATTTGGATAATAAACAACAAAAAGTTGCCTTGATAGATGATGTAAGTGATCCTTTAATATTAATTAGTACTTAATTATACGTACTTTGTTTGTATTTTAGGATTTGTGCATCAATTGTGGTAAATGTTATATGACTTGTGCCGATTCGGGTTATCAAGCTATTGAATTCGATCCTATCACACATATTCCACATATTAACGATGACTGTACTGGTTGTACTCTTTGTGTATCCGTGTGCCCTATTATCGATTGTATTACCATGGTACCAAAAACTATACCCCATGTTGTCAAACGTGGTTTGGGAGAGGAGAAAAATTTCTATACTCATGCTTTGAGTCCCGTTCAATAAAATTGTAAATTATTAGTCAATAATATGATTTTTTGTAATTAATAATAAAATATAATGAATTTAGTATATTAAATTAATATTTCAACAATTTATAACTAAAAATATACACAATTAATAAACGTTATTAAGAAAATTATTAAAATGTATAATTTTTTAATAAGTGCCGATGTTGCCATGTGAAATATTGATATTGATTTTGTATAAACTGTTTTGGTTGTAGTCTCCGCTAAGCTGTAAGTTTGTATAGTTTTATACTAATGTATAACTTTCAGTGGAAATAAAAAAGGTGTTATAATAGTGAAAAATTATACTAATAGTAGAACTTTAAAATATTTGGCAAATTTTTAAGGCGTAAATTAAAAACAAATTTGTTTAATTTGATAAATTATTATAAATAAGACACTAAAATTTGAAAAAGAATTAATTTCATTGTCAAGTTCCTAATCAAGGTGCGATTAGAATGGTGGCATAGCTAACAAATTCTTATTTAAGTTATCTTCTCCATTCTTATTTTGATCGATGATTCTCAGTTGTTTGAGTCTCAAATTTTGAGATGATTAAGTATAATAATGTTGTTAAAACAATATTACAGACCTAACATAGAGGTTTTTAAATTAACCCGGGAAGACTTGAATTAGCTGAAACCGAATTTTGATACTCCGATAATAGTACTTTTTAGGTTTTAAAGTTCTCAAATAAATTTTCTGCTAGGCTGTAGACTAGACTACAGAATATACTATAAACTAGATTATAGACAAGACGACATATTAGACTACATACATACTAGATAAAAGATTAGACTATAGACTAGACTTTAGACTAGAATACAAAGTAGACTATAAACTGGATATAGATATTATAATAGATAATAGTTTAAATTATTATGATTTGTAGGTTCGATTCCCACCTGAGGCACTGGTGGGGGAGTGCACAGGCCCGATAGAGGCCTAGGTGTATTTCATCGGATTTGATGATTGTATATACGTCCTCCTTTGAAACTAACTAACATAAACTAGATTATAGACTAGACTATAGAATAGACTTTAGAATTGACTAGACTACAGACTAGTATATAGACTAGAATATAGACTAGAATATAGACTAGACTATAGACTTGACTATGGACTATACTATAGACCTTAAACTAAACTATAGAAAAGACTATAGACTAGACTATATACCTAACTACTGACTAGACTATATACCAGACTATAAACTAGACTATTGACTTGATTATAGATTAGACTATAGACTTGACTATAGACTATACTATAGACTAGACTATAGACTAGACTACAGACTAGACTATAGACATGACTATAGACTAGACTATAGACAAGACTACAGACTAAAATATAGACTTGACTATAGACTAGACTATGTCGCTATATTCTAAAATGTTGGTCTGGGCCCAAATTATGCCATACGATATCGATCGAAATCTCCATTTAGATTCTATTGAGATTTCGATCGATATCGTATGCCGTAATTTGGCCCCTGATTACCCTTATATGTAGTTCTGAAGCCCATTTAGAAAAAAACAACATACATTTTAAGGTTATGAATACAATAATCATAATAATTAATTCTTTATTTGATAATAATGATATTGTTTTTATCATTTAGTTTCACACATAATTACTTAATAATTCATTTCATTATTTGCTTTTTTCGATATTAAAATATTACAAATAAAAAAATAAGAAAAATTAAAAAAATACTATGATAAATAATTTTTTTTCATGTCTTAAGCAGAATATAAGCAATTTTTTGCAAAAATTCGCACAATCATGACTGCTAGTAAAAATTATATATTAAAAAATAATAAAAAATATAAATAAAAATTAAAAAATGTATATTGCAAAATAAATAACAAATGTGAATGATATAATTTTAAAATAATATTATTTTTATTATTAAATTTTTTATAAAATTGTGTGTATTTTTCTTTTTGCTGTTGTATTATAATTTATATAGTACACTATTAGATAAGAGAGAGTGAGAACGAGGGGGCGAGATGCGATTAGTTAATTAATTGTTTAAACAAAATTTAGATTTCATATAAAGAGAGATACGATTACATAAGAGTATAAAAGCTTAAAAACTAATGATGTTTGTTTAATATTCAATCGATAAAATGATTTAAATGTTTAATTTATAATGTTTTTCATGTATTTAATAGGAATAAGGTATTTTAAAAGTATATTTGTTTTATTTTATTATTACAAAATATACTCCCCTCCTTGTGTTTTAGAGTGGTTGTTTTTGTTTGCATTTATTCAATTTTCATTTTCAATGTTTAATGATGATTGTTTTTAATTTTTATTTTTTCTTTAAAAAAATATGCTAAAAAGCTTTAAATATGTTTCATTCATTAAAAAGAACATTTTTCAATTGTTTTTTAAAAAAATTGTAAAATACACATAAGATTAGATTTTCACTCACTGCTTTTTTTTGTATATAATTTCAATTATAATTAAGCAACGGAAGGAATCGCTAATTATTGGCATTTAAATTCTTTAATTATTATAATTATGTTTTGTATAATTCTTAATTTTCAGTTTTATGATTTCTTTTTATAAAATTACAAAATTTTCTTGTGCGTTTTACTTTAAAACAGATTTTGTCCTGTTGATTTTTTTATTTTAATTATTTTCAGCAAAAACTTCCGCTTTATATTTCTATGGTATGAAAAAATATTCATTTCATTAGAAAATTGTATATTTTAAGTGATTTTTGTTTTGTTTTTAATGGAATATAGTTATACATTATATGTAGTATTATTTCATAATAGAGAGTTTTGTTTTTTTTTAGTAGAAAACTCCTTTTTCTTGGCTTAAATGAATAAATAAACGTTAAAAAAGTAATTTGCAAATTTCCCACAATTTAGAATTCCCATTGTGTTGCCGCATCAGTACCATCATCTAATAGTTTGAACGCACCATTTTTGGTGGCACCCAAATATTTGCCATTTTGGGATCTAAAGGAATACAAAATAAAGTATTTGTTAAGTTCTAGTTTAAGTTTTAATGATGCGTTTAAGTAACTTACCTAATACAAATTCTAGTAGGTTCACGTAATTCCAAATAGAAACCATCGGCAGGACCATCGGAATCTACTGATATGCCTTCGCCATCAATGCGCCAATACTTGCCACTGTGTCCCTTGAAATAAACCAAACCTTTTTGGGCCTTTTCAACCAATATGGTTTCATAAGTGGCCTTATTGCATTCTAATTTGGTATTACCAGGCTGGCGATAGCCTACAAAACCTTGTTCACATTTAAGTACCAAAATGGGTCTAAAATTAAAGCAAAATAATTAATAATCTTTATTTTGTGTGAGAAATGTTAAGTTTACCTATTAATTAAATAGAAATAGAATTTCGTAATATCTTCAATTGATTCCGAGGTGGCAAACAGATGGCCCGAACGTTTGGTAGCCAAAAATTTACCATTATTAGCACGGAACGATAGAGAACCATCACCATGCCATATCAATTCGAAGAGAGCATCAGCACAACGTCTATTGCCGGTTGCCTGAATACCACCACCAGCCGATAGGCTCCAGTAACGATCTTGGGTAGTACGCAAAGCCCAACGATGAGCCGACCAGTCAAACTCCAATTGGAATGTTTCATTTTCACCAATTTCATCTTGATTGGCTGTAACATCGACACCTTGTTTCACAGAAACATAACGCAAATTCATGGCGGCAATGAAAGATGCTTGTGGCAAAGAATCTTCCAAAGAGAATAATTCATCACGTGTGACCGTAGATGAACGGGATTTAAGCACAGCCTTTGAGCCTATAGGCGAAAGATATTGACCTTGTCTACAGGGAGGAAAAAAAGGAAGAATTATATTGTAGTAATTAATATAGTTTTAAATAATTACACAGAAAATTGAACTCTGAAACCGAAGTATAGTTTTCTAAAAGATTGAGATGTGCTGAATCAGAATCAGGATTTCGCGATATCGTGTCCTAAATATTGAAAGACACATACAGACATAAGACATTTTTATTTATAAAATTAGTTGTGCAATCTGTTGACTTTAAAATTTATTATTGTTTCAAGTTTAGATTATAATACATATCTCGAAGGAGGGAGAAGATGTAACAAAGGTTAAACTTTTATTTGAATGTCAAAAGAATGGACTTTGACAAAATAAACTTTATAAATAAAGGTGTCATCGTGCTGTTAGAATGTCACAAATATGGCCAACAAAAGGTGTTTTTAAATTTTTATGGCACGATATCTGGAGAACTTAATGTGAAGTAGATATTCTTGGGCCAGACTAGGATTCAGCGCAGCTAAATCGTTTAGAAATGTATATTGTGATTTCTGCTTTGGAAATTTATGAAATACAATTATTAATTAAGCATTCCTGTCTTCTTTAACATAAATTTTGATTGCAAATAAAATGTGGTAAAGTAATTAAAGTTGCTTTAATATGAAATGTTCTCAACTTACCTATCTCTTAAGGCCAAATGACCACCATGATATTCAGCACTAAATAGACAATCCTCATTGCAAAGAGTTTGCAATTTACCATTAGCATTCAAATATCTATAAATCAAAACACAATCATTAGTCAGTATGTAATTGTCAACAGTATTCCAAAGACATGCGACGATCAACTTACTTATTATTACATGTATGCAAGGCATAACGACCGCCCTCCTCTTGACGGAATTCCAATGTGAATAGGGTATCCTCTCCCCATGGTATGTTGGCATCAACATGTATCTCATCTTGGGACTCTGATAAATGAGCAAAACGTTTACGTCCAATCGAACGTAAATTAACTTGTGGCCTAGCAGCCAAATGCACCGTCCAGAATTCACCATTGCTTGGTGTTTTAGCGGTACAAACCAATTTGTCTGGTGTACCGCCTAGGAAATAACCGCGTGATTCATTTTTCAATGCCCAACGACCGGTGCCATCTTCTGCAATACTTATTTGAAACCGGCTACCAGCATCACGTTCATCACTTTCGCACAAAACATTGCCAAATGAATCCACCGATAGATATTTATTAAGATGAGATCTTAGATAGATAACACCTGAAAGGAGACCAACATTGAGCATTAATGTTGGCGGGGAAAAATTTAGAAAATTAATGAACGCTCTTGAAAAATTGGAAATAAATGGATATCTTAAAACATAAGGTGATGAGAAATGTATTGAACAATCAAAGAAACGTAATGTAAATGTAGTTTTCTTTGTTGAAAACAACTTTTGTTTATTAAACATTGACAACATTTAAAGATCAATTGAAAGAACTAACATGATAATATAATTTTTTTTTTTTACTAACACTTTTTTTCCTTTTTTTGTTAAACAAAACATAATAATTTAAATAAATGTATACTTTCATTTTCGAAGAGTTTATCAAACTCTTATTTTTTTTTCTTTCGATTATCTTTCACCAAATTGTAAATGTTTATTAAACAAAAAACACAAAGAAACAAAAGTTACTAAATTGTAGATATTAGTCATTGTTATTATAATCTTTGCCACAAACAAAAAAAGAGGAAATACATAAATTTATAAAAAAAAGAAATAATCGTTGAAATTGTTTATACATAATACTTTTTTAACAAAATAATATTATTAACCGTAATAAATACTCACAGTGTTTAAAGAAACAAAAAATAAGCTGTTACTATTTTTTTTTGTTTAATTTTTAACCCTTTCCGTGGTTTTGTCGAATATATTCGACATTACAATAGACTCTGTTTTTAAGCATTTTTTGGGTATAATATTTAACTTTAGTTTTAATTTTTTTCTTTTAGATGAAAATGAAGACTTTATTATATTTATAATTGAGATTTTGAAAGATCCTCCGTATTTTAAAAGTATTTAAAAATCAGATTTTAAGAAATTGTCACTTATGACTACTTTTTAAAAAGTGCTTTTTAACAACGTTTAAAAAACAGCTTCATTTAATGGCCAAGAAAATTGTATTTTAGGAGATCGGACTATGCAGATTTAAATTGTATTGTATTGAAAGAAGTTTAAAAAGACATTTTACAAAAAAAAAAAAAAAAAAAAAATTCATAAAAAATATTGGTTGTACTTTTTGGAGACTGTTTTTCGAATGTCGAATATATTCGACATTTAACTTTGACCTTCTATAACTCACTAGGGAAAACTCAAATTCAAAAAATATTATTTTTCCCGGATTAAGCATACTCAAATTATCTTAAATATAAGTTTTCAAGTTTTTTTCTAGGCATAAATTATTTTTGACCCTGAAAGGGTTAATTTAAAGTAAAATTAATAATTTATGCTTTTTTTGTTAAAGAATAAAAATATCATTTAAATTAAAAATAACATGGGAATGTAACCAAACGCTAACTCATTAATTTCTGTGAAATTTTAATTATTTAAAAATACTTCCTTGCTAACACTCGTATGACTGTGATTTTCTCTAGAATTTGTGTAAAAAACTGAATTTTTATTCATAAAAAATTAAATTTATATTTAAATAAAACATTGTCCATAATTTGCTTTAAATCACAAACATGGTTTAATATTACATTTCTGACATAACTTTTTTGATATGGAATACATTAAAGAATTTTATTGTTAAGTACGTTTTTTTGTTAGTTCTCCATTACATACGAGGGTAGAATTAGAAGTTTTTTTTTTACAATATTAACAAATAAGAAATTATAGTCGGCCAACCGTATAATACTCTAAACCAGTTAAGAGAATAATAAGTGATTTATTTTCCATAATAAAGCATTTAAGATTGTACCTTGCCTCCGATATATTTAAGCAATTTATTTATGAAAAACTAATTTTCTGAAAAAGGCTTTATATCGGGGCTGGGGGTAGACATGCACCGATCCTTATAAAATTTGGTGGATGTATCTACGTTTACATAAAATGTATCTATCCTGAATTTTAATGCGACATTATCCTTTTTAAGCGAATTATGGACATTTAACTCATTTTCTGAAGTGGTCTTTGTATGAGGGCTAGGATCGACTGAGGCCCAATGATTAAAAGATTCGACAAGGTTATGAAGGCAAGTATAAAACTTAGCTCTGTCGCTTTTTGTCGAGATATAAAACATAATTATGAGCTCAGATGCCGAAACCGCTAAGTTTATGGGGGCTAGGTGAAATAATGAAGCGATTTTAACCATTTTCAATAGGTTTCGTCCCTGGGACAATAGAAGATCAGGTACCATTGAATTATCTTCAAAATTGTGACCTGTAGCTTGATTACAAGGTTTAGCTAAGCCGATTGGTATACCTTAGGGTGGGTGTAGAACCAACATTATTGAGCGCTACAAATATCAGCAAAAACCCCACTAAAGTGGTGTAGGTTATAATGAAAATATGAAATACTTTTCGTATGAACCTCGTAATATTACATTTGCTTTGAAGTTTAAATATAATAATTACTGAGAGTAATAATTCAAATGACCTTCAACATATTAGATATATGAAATTCAAATTTACATACAGTGGTGGCCATGAGGTTAGCACATTTGGTATCTGTTAAATATAAAATCAAATATTTCCTATAGTTCTTAACTTTTTTAACAAATTCTTTTTTATGCGTAACACATGTCCTTCGAGGATCACGACGCAGATAGATTTCTTTCTTTCCAAAGTACATCTACCCCAAAAAAAATCTGGACATAAGTTTAGCACAAAATAAAAAAATCATTAAAAAATTAAAAATAAAGCAAAGAAACTGGATAATTTTATGTAATTTCACTTAAAATTTTATATTTTGTAGAATAGTTGCACATTTTGATAATATCATTTCTTCTCCTGGACATAATCTTCACCAGAACCCACTAGAAATTTCATGACATAAATTTTAACTTTCAGCCCATAAATAGGCAAAATTCTTAGGAATTTGTGTTTTATTTGTTGCACCATTTCGTTTAATATGTTCCCTATTGGATTGGGATCTAGAAATTATTCTGGGGGCTGCAAACATGTCAATCTCGCTCGCTTCCAAGAAGCTCCTCTCTGTACTTTTAACATATTTTGGGTCATTGTCGACCAAAAAACGCCATTTAACTGAACTTTTGTCCACTCATTTTTTACTAAAATATTTAAGAGTCTATTTTGATAGTCATACTGATCCATTTGTGCATCCACCTTGCGTATAGAACCTCCACTAGCCCGGAAAACGCCTCCGAATTCGTCATATTTCAACCATTGTGTTTTATGGTTTTAAATGTACACTTTGGTTGTTGCTGCATGTTTGGAGTACAGCATAATTACATTTTTCCATCAAATTTGATCCTATTAATCTTCAACTAGTATCCTCCAATCATGCAGATAAAGCTAAAGTGTTCCAGAGAAATCATATATCACAATGGGGGGAAATTTCATGGTATTCATTGCATTTTCTTGGCATGCTGTTGGTCCTATATTGATGTTGGATGCAGAAGTGGATCCGTATGACTATCAAAATAGGATCTTAAATACTTTATTAAAAAAATCGGAGGACAAAGATGGCGTTTTTTGGTCGACATCGACCGTAAATATGCTAAAAGTGCTGAGATGAGCTGCTTGGAAGCGACCGGGATTGTCATGTTTGCAGTGCCCAGTATATTTTCTCGATTCCAATTCAATAGAGAACATATAACATAATATGGACCAACAAATAAAAGCAGAAATCACCAAGAATTTTGCCAATTTATGGGCTGAAATTTCTAGAGGGTTCTAGTGAAGATTATGTCCAGGAGGAGGAATGATATTATCAAAATCTGCAACTATTCCACAAAATATAAAATCTTAAGTGCAATAAGATAAATATAACCGGTTGTTTTGTTTTATTTTTAATTTTTTAATGATTTTTTAATTTTGTGCTAAACTTATGTCCAGATTTTTTTGGGGGTAGATGTACTTTGGAAAGAAAAAAATCTACATGCAACAAAGTAGTGGAACAAAATGTAATGTGTCGTGATCCTCGAAGGACATGTGTTACGCATAAAAAAGAATTTGTTAAAAAAGTTAAGAACTATAGGAAATATTTGATTTTATATTTAACAGATACCAAATGTGCTAACCTCATGGCCACCACTGTATATTGTAGTTTCTGTCACGTATTCTTAGTATATAAGAAATTTAATATAAGTTGTCAGTTTTTGGCAAGTGTATCTTAAAAGAGAGATTTTACATTTAGATTAAAAATAAGATTGTTCTCTAGATATTACAGTTAGTAAGTTTGAAAAGAGAATGAATGTTACATCAGTTCCGAAGAAATACAGCATGACCACTTTAGTGTGTTCTTCTTTACCAGAGTCTTATAGTAGAATCGAACCAACGGCCTCTGGAATGACAGACTAGATCACACACGGAGTAAAAGTAATTGCCACTAAAACTTGTGTGGTCCCCCTTAAACATAACCTAATCTACAAGTTAGTTAGTTAATTAGTTTGAAAAGAGGATGTATGTTAAATCAAATCCGAAGAAATACACCTAGGCCTCCATCGAGCCTCTAGTGCGCCCCATTACCAGTGTCTCTGCTGGGAATCGAGCCCACCAACTCCTGTCTAACAGACTAGAACACTAACCGCCGATGACAAACTAATGTACAAAATTAACAAAATTTATTACAAAAAAGTAATGAATTCTAAAAAATCTTGTGTTTTAAACAAAACATCTGGCTAATTGTAGGGTATTGTTATTATTTGCTATTTACTCAAGAATTTTTTACTATTTTGCCCTCTTTGCTTTAATAATTTCATACACACATTTAGATTTTATTTTAAAGCAGCTATTGTCTTGGTTTGTTTTCATTTTTGTCTGGATATTATGATAATTGGTAACTTTTTTATGGAATTTATAAAAAAAGAAACGAAAAAATAAACTAAAAGATTGCTGACCTGTTGTGAATCGTTCAGAGGCAGACAGTCATTGGTTTGTTTTTAACGAAATAAAAAAAGAATCACAAATATTTTGCACTGAATGTGTACTGAAGTAGTTTAAATTTTGTCAACATCACATTTTCACTCGCAGTTATAATGTATTTAGTCAATATGTATGATTTTACACCTCTCATGTGTATGAGTATATAAATTGCAGCAATGATAAAGATCATTATCGTCTTGTTGCAAATATTTGAGGCAACTCATTGTTTTCTTTTCATGGTTGGTTATTTTTGCTGCATTTAAAATTAAGTCTGCAAATGTCAGAGACGTGGCATGATTTTAAAACGAGAAGCCTTTAAAAGGACAAAGAACGCACATTAAATGGCCTAATTAATTAAACACACATAACTATTCAGAAAATGTGTGATCATTTAAATACACTTTTGGTAACATTAATAAATATTAATTGAAAAGGGAACTACTTGGCTAGAAACGACGACACTGCTTGAATGTTTTTTTTTTTTAAAGAAATGAACAATTGCTGCTTGTTCTTTTTTGTTCATTCTGCATTCAATGGGACATTGTTAAATTATAATTGAGTTGATACAATATTTTCACAGTTAAGTGTAATAAACTTTTCAAAACAAACAACAAAATATGAACATATCAGAAGGCATCTTCTTCATCTTTATTAATAATGTGCCATGACAATAATGATTCACAATACACGTACGAATAACACTTCAGCATAAATCTTTAATTTAAATGCATAAGCGTGTCAATTACTTTACTACTGACTGACTTATTTACTAACTAAGTAAATAACTTTATGATGACTGACTTACTTCAGTGGCTAACCAAGCAAATTGACTGACTGCAGCCACTTGAAAGATTGCAAGCTGAAATTAAACATAATTTTTGTTGCCCATCAGTCATCTACATATACATATGTTTTTGCAAAGTGCGTTTTTTTTTAGTAAATTGTTTCCTTGAGTAAATTTTTTTATTGTATTTATTTATCTTAATTTTTTTGTGTCACATTGGAGAGCTTTTCTGCATAATTGTGATATTTGCTTGGAAATTTGTTGTTGACAATTTACATGCAGCATGATGTGCATGTTGTTTCTGTTATGTGTTAAAATTGACACTTGACTTAAATATTAAAATGATCAGATTTTATATTATTCAGTACAACAAAAACGTTCACATTTATATATGAATGTAATTCGATCGATCAGTTAAAATTCATATAGAGTAAAAGTATTATTTAATAACCACATTTATGTTAGGTTAGGTTGATATGAGGATGTAACTACATCAAATACACTTATGCCGTTATCGGGTCTATTGTGGGCTCCTTTTCATTGAAAATGTTTGTTGGTAACAACAAAAACCTATAGTATTCACTGAATGCATTATCGTGCGATGTTGAAAAACTAAGTTTCCTGGATGAAATTCCTAAGAATTTTCCAATCGGTGTTCGTTAGGGATGTTACATTCGGAATAATATCTCTCCAAGATATTTGGATCTAATTTCGGAGAAAGCCTGACAATGGGAAATAAAGTGCGAATTTGCCTGAATTCGTACGTTTTATTTTGTATAGCTATGCCCGTAATCCTATGGGTCTACTCAGAATACATACTATCATACTAACTTCAGACTTGCTCTTCTCGTTAGGGTCAACACACCGTTTCATTATTCCAAGAGGCCTTATAAGTTTCTCTTACATATATGTATATTTTTAATTCTGCCTTCGTTGCATCAAATGGTTTTAGGTTCGTCAGGTTAACTACCTCGAGTTGTCTTCCCTTAAAAGTTATTACAAAAGGTCTGGTTGCCATAAGGTATAAACTTTACCTCTGGGAGAGTAATCGGTTAAAGCTTTTTTACAATCCAATACGGTCATAGATTTAAATGTCGGTTAATATGTTAAATAGTGTTGGTGACATATTTATTCTAATCCAATTCACGTAATCCGTTATTGCTCGGACTTCTACCTGGAAGCTAGTGTTGTGATTAGGTAAAAGGTGGTATACTCTTGTTTCTGGGTCTTCAATATAGAACTCCAGGCTTACTTTGTCCTCCAATTTAGAGTCATCCGAGTAGGAACGCTTGATTTAGAGGAATATTAAACACTGATCAATGATCAGTAATCTAATAACTATATAACTATAATAATCATAACTTTTTAAAATGAACTTTAATTTTGATTTGATCATATCGAAAATATAAAATATATAAAAGTATCATAAACATTTTTCCCCCATTTTTTCCAAAAAAGTAGCATCGGTTGACCCTCTTGATTATAGAGGAATATTAAACACTAATCAATGATCAGTAATCTAATAACTATAATGAACAAAACTTTTTAAAATGAACTTTAATTTTGATTTTATCATATCGTAAGACTTTAAAATATAAATTAATATGTAAAATATATAAAAGTATCATAAATATTTTTCCTTATGACCCGCGACTAATGATCGAGACATGTTACTGTCACCAAAGATCATTAAGAAAAATATAAAATTAATTGTTAAAAACTTGACAAAAGTCCTGGGGGTAAAATAAACACTTTTGCATTCAAATTTTCATTAACTAAAATTGGCTAAAGAAAATCTAACTGGTATCTTATTTATTTGCATGTTTCAAGTCTGAATAAATTTCAATTTAAAGTCAATAACACATCGAGATAAACAGCATGAGTAACAGTTGGAGTTAAACAATTTTTAAAAGGTTAAAATGTCAAACAATTGTAGATTTTATCTCAAACTATTAAACACAAAATTTAAATACTGATAATAAAGAAAAAGTTGTCGCTTTAACCAAAAAAAAAAGAACACGCATTAAATTTCCACCGTTAATTCAAATTTTCATACGATCACTATCAATACAAAAGCAAAGGCCGGTAGTAGTTATGCGCAGTTTGCTATCCTAAGTTTACAAGTAAGAAAATTCGAAACATGTCCACAGTTTAAAACTTAATTTGACTTTGGTTTAAACAAAAAGGAAAACAGAAAACACAAACTTGTTGTCTGTGTTGCATTTTACCATTGTTGAGTCACATGTTACAGCAAAATATAAATTGATCTTTTACATGGAAACTAATAAAAAAAAAACGAGGAAATTGAAAATTAATAGTTTGGAAAAACGGTAACAAACATGTGTCCACAAAACGCGAAAACTATAAACAAAAAATATAAATAACAACATGTATAAATAAATACATATGTAGATGATACGGACCATAATTCATTCATCCAAACTAGAGTGAGTTTTCCTAACTTGTACATATAAGACAGACCGACTAAAGTAACAAAAACGAACAAACATTTTGTTGTACAAAAAAAATGTTTGATCATAAATCATGCTCAATGTCGGATGAACAAACATACGCATTTCAAATAATAAATTGAGTTTAAAGTTATTTATTACGTTTCTTTTTTTGCCAATACTGTATTTTTACTCATCTTTAGTTTTTGTTCTGCTTTAAATGAATACGTAAACGAAAAAATCGGCTATAATTTAAATTTAAGTTATTGCATTTATTTATTTATTTATTGATACTTACTTTCGCCAGTATTGGATGGTTCTAATGTCCATAACTGTTTCTTTTTCAAACTGGCACCGTTGGCATTCAATTTAAAACCGAATGTCTCGGCCGTCATATAACGATGCTGACCATTGATTAGACCAATTGTCCACCAACCCTTCTGTTGGTTCTGTGATATAATGTCGCCATTTGTATGATTTAACTCACAACTCTGGCCGTTCATGGTGTTGTTGATGGAGTTGATAATCGGTGTGGGAGCAATGGTGACGATTTGTTTAAAACAACAGCGGAGTTGATAAGAAAGAAATTTATGTTTTCTTTATTTAACCTTTTAAATGGCGTCTTTTGAAACTTCCTTTTTAAGCTAGACTGACTGCGCTTTTCTTAGTGTTGTTATCTGCGCAAGAAGCTATATGACTTTTAATCTTCAAACTGGAAATATTACAAAAAAGAAGAAAAGAAGTTGTTATTATTATAGATATTGTTCAGAATTTATATGTTTATAAATAAATAATAAATGTACATAGAGTGTATTCATATATTTTTTATCTTAGGTTATGGTTTGAGTTTATAAATAAAAAACAGGGTACTTTCACAGATGGTGTAAGGACTGTACATAATTTGAAATTTCTTAAAAAATTTGTACGTTATCCCAAAAATTTTTGAAATATTGAAATTAAAGTTCTTTAATATGAAAAAACTTTTCCAAAGAAAGTAAAATCCAATTCAAAATAAAAAATCCACTTTTTTATGATAAAAAAAAAAAAACAAAACTAATTAGTAATTACTCAGCTACCTCTTTGTTAAAGAGCTTGGTAATTACTTATTTAACTCCCTATTTGTAAGCGAGCGTGGTAAGTACATGGCTCCAATGACATCAGAGAGTTAAAATAAACATGTAAAATGTCACTTATTCATAGCGGTTTTATTACTTTTGTTAACTCATTACTTATCAATATAAGTTTTTAATGAGTATAAATCTATTCCAATTACAACATATTACTTAAACACCCTGTGTTAATTTTATTTTTAAAACTGCGGTTTTTAGCTTTTTTCAAACATATTCATTTTGTATTCTCAGTTTATATTTTATTTATTTATACTTCTAGTGTGTATGTGTTAAATTATAGTGGTTTAAAAACTTCATTCCTTCATACTATATCTTGTTTTCTTTCTTTATTTTTTGCATATTCTTTAAATCTTTATTCCATTTTTCTTTGGGTTTTATATAAATCACGGTCCGTTTGTTGCCGGCCACAGTAAAGAAATCCTATAAGTTATTGATATAAGACGTATGTAAGTAAGTACATAAATTCATTGTAACCATTTTTATTCTTATACATAGAAAATGGACAAAAGGAGCTGAATAAACATATATTTTACCCTTCTTCTTCCACTTTAGTTTAATGTAATGTTTATGTCTAAATTGATAGTATATCAACTAATGGCATTTATGCAAATTTATAATTTATAGTTATTTTTATACAACTCTACACAAAATGTGGCAAATATGAAAAAATAATAATGGAACTGGTATTTTAAAGTATTCTTCTAAATATTAAACTTTAAGTTATAAAGAAGTTTTAAGAGTCAATTACGTACTAAGAGTTTTAATTTTAATTGAAACTAATATTTAAAGAAAAACGTTTTAAAATTTCTGATAAATTTGAAATTGTAGTAGTTATTGCTTACAGTTAATAGACTATCAACTTAATATTTCTTTTTTCATAAAACATTGCTTTTATATTTCAAAACTTCCAACAGAAACCAACGCCCAACTAAAAAAATGAAAATTCAAAAATGGAAAATTATATATTATACACTACTCGTTCATTGACCATGTAAAAAACTATGCTTAAAAACATAAAATAATCTTAACAAAAATATGCCATGACAAATATAAAATGACATGTTTATGAAAAACTAAAAAAATGAATTATTTGCTTTGTTTGTGTATGAAGTATATGTTTGTCGAGACTCAAAAGAAACAACAATCTATTGTTAAAATCATCTCTGCTAAATAATAACAAATGACTTTTGTAAATTTTTTCGACAAAAAAATGCAAAAAAGTGGCTTGCAAAAACATTGTTAATAGGGTTTCATTGCCGTTAAAATCCCAGTGTAAAATTCCCTCGAATTCCCTCAAAAGTACTAAAACTTTGACTTGTATTTACTCAAGAACTTAGTTTTCAATAACGATTAAATACCGACTGCATTACGTAGAAGTAATCTAGTGATGACTTACAAATAACTATATACGTAAGTACTTACTTTTGTCAGACGCAGTAGACGTATCCAAGTAGACGTATTTCTCAAAAACAAAACTATTAACTAGTAAGTACTTACTTACTTAGTTAGTACTTACGTAACTCTCTACTTGTAAGCGAGCGTGGTAAGTATTTGCCTCCAATGTCATCGCCGTGTTAAAATAATGTCTTAAAATGCTATTTTGTAAGAAAATTTTATAATTTTAATCCCTTAATAGTTAATGAAAGTTTTTGCTGGGTCTATTTTTAGCAAATTTTCGATAAATGTTATATTTTTTTAAAAAAATTAAATATTATTATAAAAATTGCATATTTTTATTCAGAGAGTTTTCGAAATATTCAGAATTTTTAAGAAAATTTTCGGAAAATTCCAAATTTTCAGAAAGTATACGAATAATTCATAATTTTTAGAAAATATTCGAAAAATTACAAATTTTTAGTACATATTTGAAAAATTCAGAATTTTTTAGAAAGTTGTCGAAAAATTCTGAAGTTTTAAGAAATTTTTAGGAAAAGTCAAAATTTTCAGAAAATATTCGAAAAATTCTGAATTTTTAGAAAATATTCGAATTTTTTGAAAATTGTTAGATTTTTTTTTTTTTATTTTATTAAAAAATATCCGAAAATAATAAAAAGTTACGAAATTAAAAACCCTATTTTGCAAATTTAACGTCTGTACATAAAAAAAGTGCAGATATTTAAAAAATCTTTTTTTGAGATGAACTAAACATTTAGTCAATTTTTCACGCCATGATTTTAAAAACGTATTCATTAACGTTTACTAACTTTGTAGCTTAATTTATGCGCCAAACTGTTTGTATGTAATTTATTAACTAGTATGTTTAATTATTTTTCTTTTTTGTTTGTCAATAAGTATCATTAGAAACTTTTCAACTATTAATGTAAAATTTGACCTGAATCTCTGTTGGAGTATTATATATTCAATAGTACCATACCCTAATTTTAACCGACTACTTCCTTGACTTTTAAGGGAGTTACCTAATCTGTCTAAATCTAAGCAACATATTACTTCAAAGGAAATTGTTTAAGTGACAGATTCCTTATATAAAGTATTAGAACTGAAACCGGTACTTAAAACCGCAAAAAACAGTAAATAATGTTGGGCCAATTCTCTTTTAACTTGGAAACCTATTCAGTAGATTTATTGTTGTATTTCCACTAAAGTGATATATTGGTTTTAGTTTTCTTAAGATCCAAAGAAATTTGTTCCAATAGTCCCATAATGGTTAAAAAGTTAGTACAAAACTTTCGATATTTTTTAGATTTTCTCAACAACTTCCGAACATAAATGTAGCATATATAGTTCATAGTTTTGAGATAGTTTATATTGCAAATAACTTATATCGTTCCATAAAAAGCTTAACTATAGAACTAAGCTGCTCTGATATGTATTTTTTTGCAAAAAGTGATTTCACTTCAATTTGTGACTTGTCATTTGTCAATTCTGAGTGCCATGACATTTTAATTTTAAATTCTATATTAAGTAGATACACTAACAAAAAAGACTGCCTTGGGATTCATTTAATATCTTATAGACTCCTTATAAAGTCACAGATATATAAGCAGCTACTCCTGCTGCTGCTACGCTCTTTATTGTGGGATGTCTGTCTGTCTATTCATGACGTTGATGTTTAAACCAAAAATAGTAAAAATTCAATGTTTTCTAGTTCTTTTGCCTTTTATTCCTTTTTTGCTTCTTTTTTTTAATCATTTATTTTGAAGTGGACAGGGTGTGTGGATTTGCATACTAATTAAGAATGTAAAGAAGACAATCATGTTCGGTGAACTCCCAAATGCTAAACAAGACATATTACTATACAAACGTAATGTAAAAAATTGTAGAAAAAGGAAACAATTTTGTTTCTTTTGTTTAATGAATTAACGAGTGACGATTATATGTAGATATTTTTCTGTATATAAAGTAAAGGAGGGCCGTTTTGGTTAAACTCTCCATTAACATGGCTAAGAATAAAAATGCAACTGTTTGAGGAGAGTGTGTTGTTGTATGTGTTTCTTTCTGTATATTTTTCATGATTTAACCAAACAAAGGATTGGGCGTTGTCTGTTTGTTGTGTGTCTGTCAGTATCTCTTAGCCTGACTGTATACTATAAATAGTTTTGTAATAGTGCAATTTCAAATTACGGTTAGAAATACAAGTTAATAGTAGTAAAAAGTAAAAGTTTATTTAAAGTTTGAATAGTACACAGACATAAATTTAATCTTAACTATAGAAAATTTTTTGTTATAATTAATTAAAAATTTGTAGCAAAACAGTTACATTCGTTGGTTAGTTGCAGCAATTAACTGTAATGTACCGATGTTTGTGTCGAACAATAATAACAATTTACCAAAAATTTCTTTCTGATTGCTTTTATTGCAGTTATTTTTTTAGTTGCATTTGAAATTATATAGAAAGTTTTTATTTTGTTTGTGAACAGTTAAAAAAAAAAATTTGATTGTCTTGTAGAAATTTAAAGATTTTTTTTCTGTTTTTCTTCTAACCAATTATTTCATTTTAATTGCCTTATTAGTCAGCCAAGAAATGAATGCATTTTATACGAAATTACTACCAGTGTTTTTGTTTAATTTTTTTCATTGTTTTTTTTTTAATGATAGAAAATTTACAAACCGTAAAATTTTATTAATTTTATTTTAACAGTTAACAAAATGCAATGTATTTAATTGTTAAGAGAGAAAAATAAAAAAATCCGCTTTAACAATTTAGAAAATGTGTTATTTAGTGATGTACAGTGTTGTTAAAATAAATAGCAGAGTAAAGAGATGTCAAATACATTTTTCAAAAACGTTGTACTATGTTCACACGAATAGTTGCATTAGTTAATTTGTCCCCTAAATTACTATAGCAAATTAACCCGTTTTCACGATACATTCGTAATTCATTTTGACAGTTCATCACCATTTTCATTATTAGAGTAAATACATGTGTGTGTATGATACAAAAAATACGTTAATTTTAACAAATTAACTAATATATTTTCTGTAATTTTGTTGTAATTTTATTTTTTATATTACATAGGCCCCCGGGGGCCCGGTGTATTGCGATCCCGGGATAAATATGTGCTACCAGTACCTCTAATCTGCCGGGACTATAAACTGGTGATGTCATTTCACTCCTCGGCTA